ACGTCATGGCTTCTGTCTACATGTTATCAGTCTAACTTTCATCATTTTATTTCGATATTTACGTGAATCTCCACTGAACTGAGAGCCATATTTGCTTATACAGGTGAAAACAATAGAAAAATTTCTCTAATTAGATCACTAGCTTATGGCTTCTCGTAGTTGAGATATAGACAATCACATCACATCATGACAACCGAATTTGAGGAGCAGTGTTTGTTTAAAAATTGGAAAAACCTACAATTTTATCTAAGTAGAGGGGCATAGAAGTCCTATTTTGCTCAAAGGTATTATTAATATCCTCCTTAGAGGCTACGAATGAGCGCTGTCTTATGCTCAGACAAATTTAGGAAATTCATGAACACTAACGATTACGTTCAGAGCGACGTTGAAATCAGTACAATACCAAAAACCGGGAATTTTGTTTCATTATTATGCATAAAATTCAATAAAGAAATACATTTTATTGAATAAATCTCAAACCTGCAGTTTTTATAACTTTGTAATGGAATAATTACAAGTATATTTTCAATATGTTTGTTAATTCAATTCATTTCCCTAGGCGGGACGCACACATCAGGGCTTGATAGATTTAAACTAGTATAACCTGAGTTGTGTTTAGCTTTAAATTGTGGCAGGTGTAGCAATCAGCTTACACCTAAAGGCATGACAGCTCGTCCAGACAACAATGGGTCTGTTGTTTCGAGGTGATGCTACAGGGACATGATGCTGAGTTTTAAGTGGATAGTATAGCAACCAAAACCTTATTTGATGTTACTGGATACCAGGCACTCTGAACGAAGCTACCATCTTGGACAGTTAACAAAACATTGTTCTGGCAAATAGAAGAAATCTAGATGTTAGTTGAAAGGTGTATCTTTGAATATATTTTTTCCATTGTTGCTTGGTAAATAAGGATAATTGTATAAAATTTTATTTCGGGTATTGGTGCTTTTGAGATTAGCCAACTGTAGAATTAGTCAGCTAGTTTCACTTGTGCATCAGGTCAAGTGAGGTTCAATGGAATAACCATATTGGGCCTAAGAGCACTCAACTGCATGCATCCATGTTGAGAAGGAGGTTGTAGTGTCTAAAAATGTGTATTTGGTGTTGCATGGTGTGCTATATATATATATATATATATATATATCGGTCATTGTGTTGTTAGAATCTGCTGTGGTGATAGAACCGATACGAGAAATACAACATTCAATTTCCAGGCTGCACGTGTTTGGACGATTATTTGTGTGAGTACTATACTGGTTTTGTCATTGAAACTGTAATTGGTATGGTGGCAGAAACAGAAATAATGCAGATCAGTTGACACCTCTACAATCATACCATAGATCCACATACTCTGGGGTCACTGGGTCAATCTGAAATCAATACAGAAACAGAATCTCAGTGAAATTTGTTGCTTTGTTTGCAAGACCAGATGGCCATCTGGGTAAGGAAAAAGTAACACCATAACATAGACACAGGTGGCATACATCTGATGAAAGAACTGTCACACAAGCTTGCCTGGAGTATTTGGATTGTTACCAGCACAAAAATCGAAGGATGTAATAATACAACCTCCAAGTACTATCTGATTTTTCTTATGGTTGTTGTGAAAAAGAAGGTGAAAAATCAACCTTCTCTGTTGACATTAGGTAGGTGAACGTGGTATCAAGAATTGAAGACTTTCCTTTGCAACAAATAAACTAATATATAGAAATATTAGAAAGTGCTATTGGTTCAATTTTCTAAGTCTGGCTTCTGGCTACTGTCAAGTCAAACTGGTCAATGATAGTAGACCTAAGACTGCTTTCAACACTTAGGAGTGATTTGACGAATCTTTAGCCATGCCATTTATTCCTTGTAATACATATTTTACTATCGATGAGAGGACTGCAGTAGGAGATATATCTCGTCAATGTTGAGGAAGCAAAAGTGGAATTTCTTATCACGTCATAGGCAGGGATGAAGTGTCTATAGAACCTGTGAAAATCAAACTGTCAATGTTTAGTTCCATCCTGATAGCAAACCCAGAAGGACATAGCTTTTTGGTTTTATGAAACACCATCGACAACCTGTGGCCAACTTCTCGAAAACGGCAACACGAATTCTACATTAATACGCATTTTGGGTGGAAAGCATGAATGCAAAAACGTTACAGCCCATAAAGCAGACTTTGCTCAAAGTAATAGTTTTGCCTTACCATCATCAAGATTCTCTATTCATCCCGGACATTAACGAATGGCAATGTAATTAGAGAATTTTGTCACAGACGCAGGAAGGCATGAATTTTGTAATCAAATGTGTGAGAGATATTAAGAGCTTCTAATTGTCAATAGGAGAAAGTGGGATAGGATGGCCACCCTAACTTTGAATTCAGTTTTGAAAAATTTAGACGAATGTTATGAAAATGCAAAAGGTTTTAAAATGGACGTTTTTATTATAATTGTCACTTTTAATTAAAACAAAAGTTGAACATAGACTTTTTTAGATAGAGAAGAAATGCACTTTTTATAGTTGGATAAAACGTACCCCTAAGATGGGGTCAAATGACCCCATCTAACTCATAAATGCAGTTTATAATAAATGCTGCATCTATCATCTGCATTCAAGTCATTAAGATATCATTTAAGTGCTCCTGGCAGAGAACGGGAATACAATGTGTCATGCACAACTTGTGCATTATCTAAGACAATGGCGTAAGAGAACGTGGATACTAGTGTGGTGTTACACAGCTTTCCACAGGGAGTGTCGTATTACCTTCAGCTACTTACATTAAAGCAGTTGCAAGTTATAAAAATCAGTGAACTTACTTTCTTTCAGGACATATAATGTTTGTAGATGGACACCACAAGTGACTAAGAGAGGGATAAGTAACTGGACTCGGGTCATAGGTTGAATGCTACTTTCCGTGCCTTAAAGTGAAGCAACACTGTAACAAACTGGCGAATGCAATAAAAGTGCACAGAACACGTAATGTTTGTATAGTAGATTATATATACACGATGATATGTTGTATCATAGCTATTAGCCACCAGGATGGCATGTGATGCAACTGACAGCCCCAGAACTTGGAAAAAGGAGGTACTTTGAACTCTCTACATAATGCAAGAGGTGGAGTGTCACGTACCATCAAGAATGTGTGAAAAGCAGTTTTTCTTGTCACATTTACTACAAGATATTGGGAAAAGATATAGACACTGTACCATAAGTAATACTGATAGGAGAATCTGTTCATTTGCGTGAAAACTCTGGATAACTGTTGCATGTTCTACTTTATAGAGAATCCCCTGGATGTAACTGGTCCTCTGCTAAAAAAAGTAATCACTATATTCTGGTTGTTATTTATCACTTCACCAGCTAAGCTGAAGTTTATTCACTGGATGAGGTTCTATCAAAGCTCTTCGCTAACTTGTTGGTTGAGTAATGGATAACGAGATTCAGAGGATCTGGAGAAATCCACATGGATCAAAGAGCTAACTACAACAGTCAGTGGCCTTCCAAGTGTTGGATATGGTGAAAATGTGCATTTCAAAATAGCACCTTTCATTAGCCTGATAATTTACCTTATTGGTCGATACACATTATTAAGTGGGTGTTTGCTAAGTTTCTAAATTATAAAGACGTAAATGGGGTGATTTCTCAGGGCATGCAATTATGACGTACTGTTTGACTGAACAAAAATCGACTAGCTGGTCTCTGAATCTACTGATGTTATTACGGAAACTACAGCTCTCGGTTGATTTAATGTTTGGTTCTTCGCCCTTTTTAAATGCACCGCAGTGCTCATAGGAGTGTTTACGTTTTGCGAGAATTGACCCAACAAAAGCAAGAAAAACAAGTTTGAGTCTGGTACTTACCTGCAGTGTGTAAACAAACTGGTTTCGGCTGAATGCATCTGTGTATTGTATACAGAGAACTTAATCAGTTTTACGTGAGAAAACCACAATTTAATAGAGTTTAGTTGTGGCCAACACTAGTTTGTGATAAAATGTGTTTTTATAGTAGATATTTTTTTCTATTCTGCATATAGCTTCAGTGTGTCGTCTAGAAATCCGTTAAATGACAGTTACTCAGTTCGTTTCATAAAATTATAAAAATACTTTTATGTCAATAAATGAAAATTAGTTTGAATTACGCATAAAGCTACACGAGGATTATCTGAGCTAGCCGTTCCTAATTTAGCAATGATAGACTAAAAGGAAGACAGCTAATTAACACCACCAACCGCTAACTCTTGGGCTGCTCTTTTACTAACAAATACTGGGAATGAACATCACATTATAACGCTCCCACGGCTGAAAGTGCGAAAATGTTCAGTGACGAGGATTCGAACCCGCGACTTTCAAAGTGCGAGTCGAGCGCCTTAATTACCAAGCCATGACAGGTTTTATAAATGGAAAGATATTCTAGGTTATACACACACATCCTTGTCTAAGGGTGGCATATGCTGAACAATGTAATAAAGGGTTAAAAGTTGAAATTCAAAAAATAAATTAATAATGTTCAAAATTGAAGGATATTAGATTTGAGGTCGGACTACAGAATAAAGTGTTTCAGTATCGGAAGTAGAAATTACTTTACAAGTCACAGTTATGAGCCATCTCCTAAGTTATAAATAAACGCAACGGAGTTTATTTTTATATAAGAATAATAATAAAAAAAAGAGTCAACATTTGAATCAATTCTGAATACTTAGTGCCTTAATACAATCCGTTATTAATCTGTTTTAGAATAAGGTTATTTGAAAATCCAGTTTTTGATACACACTTTTAAACACTTACACATATATTATTTTGTTAATTTGTAGGAGTGTATCTAGAATTGCGTTTTGATAATTATAAACAGACTAGAGCATATATAGTATCCCTCTATCCACCACTTCTAAAATGTTTGAAGACCAAAGCATTGTTATTACTTCAATTTTGTGTATGTACAAAATAAATAGTAATACGCTCTGCATTAAGTTACTATTGATTTTTTAATATCTATTCTAGAAAAATCAACAAATAAATATATTTTACGAAATCACAATATATAATATAAAGCAAACATTACTCTCTAAAGCTGTGTCATAACAAGAAATATCCTTTTACTGTTGAATGTTTATACAAAATATCTTACACTTTTTCGCACAAAAGACTCGATTGATAAATTGGTTTCTCATTCTGCTTAAACCACAGTATATAATGTCCAATTTGGAAACGAATAGCATTGCGCTTAAGGGGTAAAAGTTGTTTTTCATGTGCAGCGACCTGTTCCTAAAATTATAACATATTGTTAAACTTATGTTCATAAAACTACTGTCACTGACAAACAATAATTATCTGAAAAATAAAACAGTTCTCTTATCATAAACTGGTTATAACAAAATTCCAATATTTGATTTTGTACCTTTCTAGCTAAAAGATATAGTGATATCTCTCAAAACGTATGCAGGATACCGACCTATCAATATTAATACTCACAAAACAGATTTCACATTGCTAACTACTCAACAAAAAATGAAAAGTCCTTTATATCATTGAAATTAACGTTGATATTTTAGAAATTCGGGTTTCTTTGGAACACATTTTTACAGTAGTTTACTCTAAGATATATTGTTCCGTACGAGGATTCACGAATAAGCCTGAACTTCCTCGATGTGTTGTTTCCGCAGGTTTTTTAAGTGCTCGGTTTTCTGACGTCATACTGTTTCGTGATGCCGCTTCTTCAGAAACATTGTTCTGTGACGTCATATTTTGGGACAGCTGTACCTGTAAGGGTTCAAAATTTCGTTTATTTGTTTTTGTTTTAGCGCAAAGTTACACAATAGACTATCTGCGCTCTGTCCACCACAGCAATGTAAATCCGTAAACTTTTTAAGTAAACATTTATTTAGTACGAAGCTAAGCAATCTATCGAATCCTGGATTATAGCGTCCTAAGTTCATAAACTTACCGCTGGCCTACTGGGAGACAAAAACACCGATTGTGATTATTATGTTGCAGAAATAAAAATCAGTAATTACTAGTGATTTACTTAAAACTGTATCTAGTAAGGAAATTCATATAGTATTATGTTTGAAAAACTTAATTTCTTCTAAGTATCAAATAAAAAATGAACTATAATATTACTTGCAGATTTGACAAAATTTTCAAAGGCAGAAATCTTTGTGGTATATATATTTAAATGTCATCTTTTTAAAAACCAAAATTTATTCTTTGAGTAGATAAATCCCCAAATACAACACATAATTTACAATAAAGTGTATCGTCAAATAAGAACATAATCTTTAATTGTTATAAATACCAACCCTAAGAGCCTACGTTTAGCTAAACTTTAAAAAAAAATTATAATTTATAGATTGCAAAATATTAACTTTAGCTTCACTAGATAGCAGATCACAATGAGTAGGTTTATTTCCATTAATAAACTCTTTATATTAACCCTTACATTAACCGAATAAGGGTAATCATATTGACTAATGCGTAATCTAAAAGGAGGCTATAGGTAGGTTATCGTCAATTATTTATTTTGCAAGAGATTCAACAAAGTTATTCAAATATTTTATTAGCTAAAAAAAAACGTAGAAGAATAATGTGTAGAGATTGTTTCAAGCATAAAAAGTGCAAAAAAAATTGTTTCCTATAACGAGTGCAACTGCATCAGTACTCACAATATCATGATATCCATTAATACGACGGCTGAGAGAATTCAGTCGACGTAAAGCAGCAGACACTTCGGTGGCTCTTGGAAAAGCGCAGTAACTCGTAAGAGTCTCCAGAGTACAAGATCTTCTACAACACTCCTCGGCAACTCCAGATCGACGGCTGACCACAATGTTCCGTTTATTAACAATTATAACGCTTCTCCTTATCCGTTCCAAGAGTAGCATGGGAGCTAGATTAAGAGAAATACTTTGTATAAATCTAAGTCATTGTATTCACACTATTAAGTTGACATTATCCAATAAATTGGGACGAACTTATAATTTGTGTAGAAGCGGAGTTTTGTTGATTTACCTGAGATTGCTTTAAGTTTAGCAACTACGAGGCTTTCGAGAATCTTTAACTGGTGCTTAGACTACGTTCCACTCTCGTCACAAAAACTGTATATATTCACAGAAACTTCACGCGACAACACGTTGTTTATTCCAGATACATTTCCTGGCCTCATCAGCGTGTGTTGTTTAATTTTAACGTAAGCTTGTTCTAACTTTATTAAACTAACTAGGATTAACTATACTTTTATGAGCTGACATAATTAAACGTAATAATGGTACAGTTTTTTGTTCATAATTTCGGCAAGTTTTTGTTGTTTTTTATAACGTAATTGTAGGTATCTATGGCCTACTAACTACTAAAAAGAGCCAGCTTTATTAGTAGTAACAGTAAGTATTTAATACGAAATTACCGCAAAAATATACAACAAGTTTTATTATTATTAATTTGATTAAGCTATCATACTTAAACTAAATCGCACATTTTTAATAGAATAGTTTACTTTGTAAATGCTGCTATTGGGAATATGAATCCCAATGAGTTAAAAGTAAATTGATTTCTGAAGAAGAAGACAGGCCAATGTTTTGTCGAAACATGTAGTATGTTCCCCAAATAAAACCACTTCTTTATGCTTATAAATCAATGTTTGTCAAATTACTATCATGTAAGCATAATGTGCTTCCATATACTATCTTCCAAAGTAACCTCTCAGTAATGAACTGAGTATTGGTTGTCATAAGTGACTTTTATTCCTTTAATGAATTAAATTTGTAATGTCATGTACTGCTTGACTTGTTACAATAGATAAAGCCAATTATCTATATTTGTAGGAACCTTCACAGATCTTGTGTCATTTGCCATTATGTGGAACGTCTTGAATGCTGATTATTATGGTTTAATACTATACAAAAACAACAAGATCTACATTTTATATGAATATTTCAAACAAATAACAATTGCTCCTCCTGTCATACAGAGTTTACTAAATTAAGAATGTTTTTGACCTGTTTGAGCAAGATGCACCAGAGCAACTTTTAAGGTACATTTGCCAATAAATTAATATAATACTTGTGTAACGCCTAGTGCTCTGTGTATGTATTGGTTTACACATTGGCATCTTAAAGATCCTCAGTGGTATGTCTGTGGTATTCAGGCAAATGCAGGAGTTTTATATTTCAAATTTAGAGATATTTTTATTTTTTTAATAAATTTACATCACACGTACCTGAACGTTTCGTTTGTGGGGAGTAGAATCCACCATGAACACTGCATAAGAATGTCAAAGATTCCGAGAGGTTGTTTCCACATAATCTCACAGAAACTACACCGTTAGTGGCTAAAAGTAAGCCAATCGAAACACATGCATATATCATTACTGGTGTTGCCATGGCTACTGTGGTTTCTGTAACGTTATTATCAACTGCTATCAGATTTCTTCCTTTCAATCCTCGGATATTTTAGTTGTTCTCCTCTTGTACTGTACTGTATATGTTCCGGGTTTCAACCCGAGCTGTTGGCTCTGAGATCTTCAGTCAAATGTTTTAAACTTTTAAATATTAAAAACTATATATATATATTTGCAAGCGTTTAACGTATTAAGAAAACCGTTAGTACAGTTGGTGTCCCAGTAGGAAAACATCCGAAGCTGACCACATGCTCACCAATCACAGTAGTTACAGCTTTCAGTAAACATATACTGTGCGCGAGGTCTTTCAAGGCCTGTAGAATAGTCAAAATATAGACACATGTACTGGAAGCTACATTTAGTATTTTTTCATACAATGTTCCTTTCTTTACCACGAAAATGTAACCAAAATTATTTCTAAACTCTTGTGTTTCTTCTTTTATGAACAAATACTATACGTATCTAAAGAAATCACTTTCGCAATATTTTACTGATTTTTGTTGGTTTCTGTTTAAGCGCAAAACTCCACAATGGGCTATTTGCACTATACCCATGATTGTTATCGAATAACAATTTGTAACGTTATAAGCTCTCAAGTTTACCACTGAGCCACCGGAGACAATGCTTTTAACACGGTAAGAATACAAGAAACTTAGAAGATAAAATCTAACTCGTATTGATAACATTTTTATACTGTTATAACGTTGAAATTTCTTTGACGGGTTGTTTGAAATTATCTGGCAGAATTGGTTAAAAGTCCAGTTTACGTAATTATAACCAATTAATTTATTTCTTCTTTAACGTATATATAAGCCTGATTATTATGTAGAATTGTTGTTTAAGACTAAATATTGTTGTAACTTGTACACCGTATTTACAAATGACCCAAACTGTACTACACTAACGTAAAAATAAACTAACATGTACAAAGTAACTCAATATTTGCGATAGCTAATACAGGTTCAAATATTTTAAACATGGACAGAAACGAAAACACACTGACCGATTCTTTCTACCGGCTAGAAACAATTCTATCTTTTCGATGCTCCATTGAACCTCGTATTAATAATCTATTCTAGAATTTACTAGAAAATCTGTTGTCACAAGTTTTAGAGTTCTCTAGGTCTACATTATAAAACTCTTTTTGATCTTAACATCGTCATTACGATCTGTTGCTAGTTAACAAAAGCCCCCTCCCCAGTGGCACAGCGGTATGTCTGCGGACTTACAACGCTAGAAACCGGGTTTCGATACCCGTGGTGGGCAGAGCACAAATAGCCCATTGTGTAGCTTTGTGCATAACTTCAAACAAACAAATAATTAAAAAAAATAAATAAAAATAATACACATAAATATAGCTTATACACCACTGATTCTTTTAAGTACGATATATGGCCCTTAACCACCTGCTTAACTTTGGAGTTTGTTCTCTCTTGTGATGAGAACTCTTCAGCCATACCATGTCACTTTGACGGAATCAAAGTTTATCAGCATTAACATCATAGCGGTATTTCCTTTGACCACAAGCTGATTTTAGTTTTTCCTGGGTAACTTCATGTACAGCGTCGTTATTCTTCACATCCAAAAGAGATCTCCCAACTACCAATTCCCCAAGACATGTCGGAATGTTTGGTTCCAGTATGTCCCAGTCACTAGATGAAGAATTATTGCTAATGACTCCTGGTTTGAGATTTCACTTATTTATGGTGCAATGACCACTGTCTTTGTTTCAATTAGAAGTTCAACCTTCAGTGTAGTAATTGCTCTTTAGTGTACGGGGATTTCCCAATATTTACTCTTCCTTAATGTCAATTATCCACACATCATTAAGTGTAGAGAAACATTCTACAGTAAGGGTAACTTCCAACTTCCCTTTTGCTGAAACTTTATCTCCACCTTCTATTCGCATCGATCCTTCTTTTTTTTATCTTTGGGGTGATTTCCCACCTTTCCTTAACAAATCAGATCAAACAGTTGTAGCTGTTGATCTAGCGTCAATCAACATAATGCAAGATTTTTTCATCAACAAGCCCATTGATGCATGGACTGATTTTCGTTTATCCAATTGAGGTAAATGGAGTATTTCCAGCTGAACTTCGCCCCATGAATCCAGCTAGTTCCTATTTCTTTTATGTCTGGTTAGCTCTTAGTCAATCATTTTATCTGATCGGGTTCAGGGTATTGTCTCCTTGGCTTTAATAACAGTTGTTTATTCATCATAGTCTCGGCTGTAATGGTCATGTTTCCTACAATTATAACAATCCCTTCTTTCTTGTGTTCTCTTGAAGAAGCTCTTATTCCATACTGACTTTAATCTACAGTTACACGCAACATATCCTTTCAAGTTACACTTTAAACAGCTATTTTTTGGGTTTATTAACTTCATTCCGTGTAACTAGCTGTCTGATTAATTCTTTTTGTTTCTCTAGACTATTGTTAGGGATCTGAAATTTCATAACTTCTAGGTGATTCATTTTCTAGTTTCTTTACAGATTTAATGGATTCATTCTCCATTGCCAACTAGAGAGTTTCATTTAAAGATGTACGCTTACTTTGCTTCCGCCTAACTGCCATATCCTCGTCTGTTATAGCATCTATAAATTGGTCACGTGCTAACGAATTCATCATTTCACGAGGAACGTCTGGGTAAGATAATTGGGCAAGCCTTCCCAAATCTTCTGCAGTTTGATAAATATCTATTCTTTGCTACATACCCTGTTACCCTATCCTAGACATTTGCTCTTGATACTTACTTCTGAAACAACATTCCAAACCTGTCAGATAAGACAGTTACCAATTCTTGATTGTTGTTATGGCTCTCAGATGGAAGTTTACTTAATGTTGTCAAAACTGGTTCTTTATATGGGCAGCAAGATGGGTGGCTTGTTGTTCACTATTCAACCCATTCACTATGTAAATGATTTCAAACGAAGTCTGGTATGACTCTCATGGCACCATCCCATCATGGTTCATTGGTTTCTTTATTGTCTGGTGTTGAATTGGCCAACTATATTCGGTAGTGTCATGGCTGGAGTAATCCAGAAAAATCTTTCAGTAACAGATGATACAAAAGTAGTAGTAATAGGCGTAGATAACGTAAATTCTCCTTTTTCATATTTTGCACCAGATGACGTCCCTGGCTGGACCTCCTGAATTGATGCAAAAAGAAGTGTGACTCGTTTACTCTTTGCATTTAATAATTCGTTTTCCAGTCGTTTTATTCTTTCATTGGTGTTCTTTTCTATCTCACTGATGCTTTTCTTTACTTCAACAGTTTTATCATCACACCCTTTCTTTACTTCTGTAATGCCTTTCTGTACTTCAAACTTGTTGTGATCTCTCTGTATATCTCCAATAGTTTCATTAATCTGATATATTCTTTATTCTAATTCTTCCTTAAATAGTACTTTTCTTTCTTATAACTCCTTTTTTAAATCTTGATCTATTATTTTCCTCTCTCTTTCTTCTTGGTCCTCTTTTATTTTTTGTAAGTTTTTGTTTTGTTTTTGTATATCTTCTTTAAAAGCTCTATCTCTTTCTGTTTGTCCTTTTTTACATTGTTTTATCATGTCTATCAGGTTTCCAATCTCTCAATGTATTCTTGTAAATCTTGAATGAAAGTTGAAGTTTAATTAAAATAATCCCACCTCTGATATCAGTGTTGTAAAATTGCACTTTCTTTAGTTGGTTCTTTTCAAGTATCTGGTAAAACTAATTCACAGTCTAATCCACCTTACGATAGCAAATTAGTTGTAACTGCCTGTTGTAGAGGACGACGTTTCGAAAGTCTTCTGCCTTTCGTCTTCAGGTCAGTATGTGTAAGATGTAGTCGGTCTATATAGTATTCTGGTGGATTGTTATGATTGGTTGGTTTATCCCTGTTTCTGATTGGCGGATAGAAAACTAGAATAATCGACACAGACAAATTTCGGAAGACGAGAAAAATTAAAGAATCATTTTATATTAACACAATTAAACAGAGATTCCGGATTAGAGGTGAGTAACCTGTGGCTACCATTAATTGAACGTACAGGAAATCTTCACTTGTGTCTCTACAACAGGCAGTTGCCGTCCATTCTACAAAGTTTCCTCATGAATAGTCTGTCTAAACAATTTATTTAAGAAACACATTAGTTATTTCTTCCTTAACGCATATATCATTTTTAATATTGTGTAACTTGCATGCCGTTTTTACAAATGACCCAAACTGTCTTACACTAACATGAAAGTAAATTTACTTGTATAAAGTAACTTAATACTCATGAAAGCTAATACAGATCCAAATACTTAAAACAAAACTCGGATCGAAATGTAAACACAGTGACTGGTTCACTCTACAGGCTAGAAACAACTCTCTTTCGTCTTGATGTTTCACTGAACCCCTTATTTTTAATCTATCTCCGAATTTACTAAAAACTGACGTCAAAATATTTAGAGCTTTCTAGGCGTATACTATTGTACCTTTTATCTTAACATTATCCACATGACTCGCAACTCCCTCTAACTAACAATTAAATTACACCATTAGAAATATAGATTACAACAATACTAAATGCTACAATACACACTAAGAATAATACACAGATCTCGTTATGGTTGACTGACTTTCATAGCTAAAAATCTGGTATAGTTTAACAGCGAATTTAATAACTATGCTTAAGTTTAACAGCTGCGACGAAGGTCCTTCGGCTGAAAAATTGAAAACAAAATTTATTTCATGAGATTTTAAACACTTCTTTATATTTTCACATTTTATTACGTTAATGCTGATTTGTTTGATACGAGTGTAGAAAAGAAAAGAGTACTGGAAGTAGGAATCAAGGTTACCCAGTCATATATATTTATTTTTGCACAAACAAATCATAGTTCAGATGTTGTGGTAGTTTACCTTGTATGTGCAGGTGAGGCGTTGGTGTTAGAACTCAATCTCGAGACATTTGATAGGTAATATCAGATTGAATTGAAGTTTTTGCTGTTTTTCTTAATTAATATTCTATTGAATGCAAAATTCAGAGTAATTGAATTGCATGCTTGCCAAAACAATTGGACTGAAAAATAAACAGCCGAAGAATATATTCTTAGAGGTATTTGTGTTGTGTTTTACAGCTATGAAACTTTAAGTGTGTAGTAAAGCTATATTAGTTCTCATAGTTACGAAAAATTATGATGTTTAGTAAAGAAATGTTGCTTTTCATAGCTATGAAATAATATGCTATATAGTAAAGTTATGTCGTTTCTCATAGTTACGACATAATACGCAGGTTCAAAACGGCGAATAGTTAAAGTTACTAATTAAAGAATTTTTACAATATGT